CCTTATCACATAATTCCTCTTCTACATTTATGTTTATGTCTTCAATCGAAACATGTATAAGCCAATGTCCCAGAGTTTACACAGCCTCTTACTAGCAATACAATTTTCACACAGTACGACATTTCAGCTTTCACCATCAACGTTTTTAATAAGCCCACCTTCAAGGTCATACATAATCCTATAATTGATATGTGTAATGTTTCAAGTTTCATTCGCCAGACCATGATAAAAGCACCACTATTGCATCCCATGCAACACTACAAACAATAACAAATTACTGAAAAACACTTGCAATACAAGTAGTAATCAAGTTACCTGATTGCTCTCAGACTCTCAAACAACTCAAGTGAATAGATGTTGTCATCATCAGCGAAGTAAACAATCCCATCAAGCTTATGACGCTCAATATGCTCAAGAGCTGTGTTCCTCTGATGCACGCCCCTGTCCTTTATATCGGTCAAATTCTTCTTTGTCACCAAATGCCGATACATCACCCCAGTCTTCCTCACAATATCTGCAGTCTCCAACGACGCCGCATTCATCTCCACCACAATCCACAACAAGGGCGGCGGCACCAGCCTCAGGAGCTGCCCTAACCTGTTCAAGTAATAAGCTTGAAGCGCCCGATTATATGTCGGTGTCACCACAATCAGCTGCTTCCTCGGAACAAAATCAAACCTCTTGTTCACATCAACAACCCCTAATTCTACTTTATCCACCACAAAATTCTCCTCTGGCTTCTCAACCACTAAATTCTTCACATTTTCCTCCTTAACAATTTCCACAGGCTTAGCGACAAAACTCTCGTCAAACGAGAAATCACGGCTTCTAACATCCTCAACTCCGCCAAATGGAGCCATACCTAATAGAAACCCTAGCGAGAAAAACATCGAACACCTATAAATCCACTTTTTCCATGAATTCACACTTTTTCGCGAATTTTTCGGGAAAAGGCCTCCGGCGAAGAATTTAAGAATGCCGAGACCGAATGAAGGTAACGCTGATGAGGCTTTCCCGTTGTATAGCACCTTGTGAGAAGCCGATTCGACGGAAAATGGATTTCCTCCGTTCTGATAGGGCCGGTCGTGGTACGGCGACAACGTTCTTCGAATCGATGCCATTTCTTTCAACGTAATCCAATTAGCATAAAGAGCTAGGTCATCACTTCCTCCCGTAACATCTACTACTCAAGAATTTTCCGATTCCGGCGAAATTATTCGGCAAATAAAATTGCGAAGAAATGCAAGTGAATAGTTCGTCCAGCCTATTGCATTACCCGGTTAGAAATCGAAATTCTCCCAAAGTAAAATGCATAGTCCCTAAACAATAGAAATGGAGCTGAGATTCACACAATATTTGGGATTTGGATGAAGAATTGACGAGCAATCAACTACAGCCTGTATAGCCAGTGCGAGATCAAGAATTTGACGGCGGGGGGTAGTTTTTATTTCTTTATATATATTCCTTTCCGGAGTGCTTTATACTACTATTTGAAAAAAAAATTTGTTTATATGCTCCTTCATGTTTTCAATAAATCCTTATTAGCCCATCATGTTCATATAATTTGACAATAAATCTCTCTTTAGAAGTGACTTTTCATGCCGTTTACCTCCGTCTCTTCACGAATATCTAACTCCAAGCTATGAATATTTAGGATATTTGCTCTTTGATGTAGGCCTACTATTATAGGTAAAATTTACTTATATGTCATCTACTATATTTGATTATTTTATTTGGAGTAAAAGGATTGATTACAACTTACAAACATTCAATCTATTTTTCTTTGTCTCGTACATTTCTGTGTGTTATTAGGATTACTATATTTTGTCGTAACATGTCTTTAAGTTTTGAAATTATAAGAGATACGTTAATCACTTTTTTTATGAAGTAATAATTAATTTTTAACATTGAAGAAAATGCTTGTTACTGTAACATAAGATTTGTTACACAGTTATATTCTAAAATTTTATTTTAATTTCGATATACCTGATAAACCTTTCAAAAATGTGATGCAACCTACGCATAACATGTTTTGCTAAGAAGTGCATGGTAGACCTGCATATGTCCCCATATTTCCACCTAGAAAAAGAAAAAAGAAACAGAAAAAAAAGAAAGGGGCTGCCAATGACGAAAAAGAGTTAAGAGGTACTCCATACTAAAATATTTTAGGGGCTGTACCATTTTATTTGCAAGAGATAGGTGTTGAAAACAAATATTTGAGAAGGATGAAGAACTATTTTAGCAATTCCTGCGGAGAGTCGTTTGATGGTGCGGTGCGCACCGGAGGGGCCAGCTAGGAATACTGTGGCCTTGGTTGTGACTAAATCGAACTGGCAAGTGGCCTGATACAAGGGTACAAGCATGACGGGAGTTGGGGTCCAGCGAGATCATTGTTTTTGTCTTTTTCAGTCTAATCAATGTCGGAATTGTAGCTTCAAAGAAACTAATCACATTTTGTTCTTTGGACTACGGGCAGGACGGTCACACTCGTGTATATATCTATTTGATTACATGTGAAAAAATATGAATAATATATAATATATTTTTATTTGATTTCATCCGAATATGCTGTTCAGATTATATTAAAATAGATATATATAAGGGTTTAAAAAAATTTATTAATTTTTCACTCATGTTCATTGTTTTTACTCGAAAATTGAAAACAAAAAAGACATTTAATCAAAAACATTATCAAGTATTTATATTGAATTAAATTTGGATAGAAAAAATAAGCAAAGTAAAAGTATGATAAAAAGAAATAAGTGATTGACACTTTTAAATTTTACGATAATTACAAGGCAAGAAATTCAATTGTTGGTCTTAAAAGTGACGAATAAAAATTTCAAATTTAAATTGCAATTTGTTAGCATAACTATAGAATTCGAGTTAGAACCGATTAATTAGATGGCCTAATTACACAACTCAATAAATGAATTATTACCAAAATAGAAAAGATTACAAATATTGAATAGATTCACATGATGAAATCAAATATATATATTTATATATATATGGGTTTAAAATAAAATTATTAGATTTTAACCTATGTATATATTTATTAAATAGCATATGTACAACTACAATTAGTCTGTTTAGGTGAAATCAAATAGAAATATATTATATGTTATTCGTACTGTTCATGTGAAATTAAATAGATATATATATATATATATATATATGGATTAAAAAAAACCATTCGTACACATGGTCAATGAGGGATGAAAAAATTTATTTTGTGAAATGTGATGGACGAAACAATTCATTTTGTGAAATGTGAGGGACTATAAATGGATTATATAAATTTTGATTTAATAATTTTTTTCCTAAAAAATGATCACATGCAAGGCAAGTGATGAATTTCGGTCAAAAACTAGTCGAAAACTTAGATAGGAATCAAATTTGACCAATATGAATTTATAAGGGATATAAAATTACACTTTTGAGGAGCGGCAAAAGTCATTTTACAAAATATGAAGGACATTTTGAACGATTTTCCCTGTATAAAAAGCATTTTAGACATAATTGTTCATAAGTTTTCATCCCACCTCCTGTATAATTTAGTAATTCCACACATTCTTCTTAAATTAGTTATGAAAATTGCATAAGAATATAATGCAAAGACTTGAAGAAAATAACCATTTCACCCTTTATTCAATCATTGGATGAGCTACATGTTATTGCATCAGTAATAATTAGATTTTGTATGAAATTAGGACAATTTAAATGTCCGTAACAAGACTTAATTATTTCTTGACCATTATAATCATAACTACAAAGTGATTCAAATTCTTCTTCTTTAGTCTCCTATGTTTTAATATCGGGCAATCATAATTGCAATGTGATTGAAATTCTTCTTCATCGTTCCTGTGCTTTAAAATGTAACTATTGTTCAATATATTATTGTTCTTCTGCTTCTTTTTCATTTTTGGCTCTAGGTAATTGAAGAGATATGCTTGTTATTCTCTTACTTAATTTGATTTGTTTTGATTGGTTAATTTGCAGAATTGTTTTGTTGTTTTTGTTTACAATTTTGTTAGTAATAATTTACTGTATAAAAAAATGTGCTATTCCTTTTTGGTATATGAGTTATAATATGTAAGAAGCAGTTCAAGAATTGTACATCCAGTTATAATTTGCTGCATTCCATGAGTTAGAGTAAAAAAGTGAGCATCCTTTCTGGTAGCAACACCATACATGAAGCCATTGTATGCTATATATTTTTGTTCTAGGCACTATCTAATAGAATTCACTAGAAAATTTTGTAAATGAAGTAAATTTAAAAAATGCTTGTAGAATATATTCATTGGCAATTCATGCCAGAATAATTCTCCATATAATGGTTGCATTAGTCAAATTTGTGTGAAATTACTATGATTGAAGATAATTTTAAATTATACTTTATTGTGCGGTTATGTTTTCTTATATCATTATATTATTTTCTATTCTTATTTTCCCTTCATCCTTGCACTAACTTTAAATCCTACTAAGGGTGCGTTTGGTTTTACAGAATTGGAATTGAATTTGAATTGAAATTCTATAGAATTGGAATTCCAAAACATTGAAATTCTTTTGTTTGGGAAATGCATAGAATTGATACATAATTCATTTCAAATTCCAAATTCTTTGTTTGGATGGGAAAAGAATTCATTAAGAATCAGAATTGTTTCCATCTAAAATTTTTTTTTTCTTTTTCCTATGTAATAATTTTTTAGCACTTAGCTAATTGTTACTAAAGTTTCAAGGAAAAAACCAATTAGTGCCTTTAATAATTTATTTTTTCTTGCATTTAACTAATTGTTACTAAAGCTTTAAAGAAAAAAACCAATTAGTTCATTTTCTGCCAAAAAAATACATTCTTAATTAAATTATATTAAATAAAAAACTAATTACATATTCTAACGTAAAAAGTAGTTCATATTTATCAAGCTAAAACCTTGATACCTTTGTAAAGTTAGGAACTTTAAATTTTAGAAAATTAAAAACCTACTCTATTATATGAATTGGGGAGGGAAGTCATAGCATGTACCTTTTATAAATGTTTGAGTTTTGCATCATACAAAATATTTCAATAGATGAATATGCAAACAAAGTGATTTAAGCCAAAAAGAAAATGAGAAAGAAAAGCACAATTATACATTACTACTATTCTTCAGTAAATGGCCATTCTAATATTCAATTTAGTCTGAATAATTTCCTATGAAACTTCAACTTGCATGATGGCTTTGTCTAATTTGATAGTCAACAAACATTACTCATGCTAGAGCAATCCTAAATTGTGTCCACTCCCTTGTTGGTTGTACTGTTCGAATTCACCATCATTATTTGGACCATTATCTTCCATTCCATCTTACTCATCTTCATTTTCCATTTCATCTTCATCATCAACCTCATGTTGCACTCTTCACATCTCAGCATCAACTTCATCCAAGAAAGGAAGCAACTGCCCCTAGCCTTTCCTCTTGTTTCTTAATATCATTCTCATCTAATGTTCAGCGCCTTCCAAGAATTTCGACATTTATAACATAGATTAATAGATACCTTAGGAGCAAAGTCCTTGTCTACCAATCTCGCACGAACACCCTACATATTATGTTTAGAGTTAATATTGAAACAGAACTATGTTCAATGAATTGGATAAGAGCAATATGGGAGCAAATCATACATCACATAAATCATTAGACTTGTTTAGAAATGCAATTCAAGGATATCCGGTATTCACGAGCCAGACACTGATCAAGAGGTTGAAACCCACATTCTCAGCAGATTACAAAAAGAAAAAGGAAATAATCTTCCTTCGCTCTTCAGTCCAAAATTTCGCCCACTCGACTTCTCTAACTTAGTAGAAAACCAGTATACTAGCTTATAGTGCATAAGCAGATTGGTGTTCAAGGTATTCTGAATATTTGTGAATAACTGATGCATGCTCTTAACATAAAGCGTGCAAAAATTGAAGACAAGCAACATTTCAGGAACAATTAACCAGCACTTAAATCAATAAACATTGCCACCGTACAAAGTATCTCAGTTTATTGTACCAAACTAATAACTGGATAGTTAGTAATTATTCAGGATATATAATTACTAATTGACATCAAGAATCCCAATCACCAATAGCTCATGCTTATAGAAATAAAGACCATGAAGCAAACGTCTCGACAATTTACATGAGATGATAAATCAACCAGGGAAGTGATTAATATTTAAATTAATGCCACAATATATCATTAGACACGGAAAACACTACAATCTTTTTGAAATAAAATTGACTTTTGATGTATTTGGCTATTAAACTTTTAAAATTTCTTCTATACAGACTTCACATGATTTCATATTTAACTTCAGCTCAGTCAAAACCCATTTGGAAGCAAGCGCCTCCACTAGAACTTAAAGAGCTACTAATGTAAGAGCAGATACATTAATTCCTGCTCAAGGGGCCTTAAATCCCTCCTCTGTAACCCAAAAAAAAGAGCAGATATCATTGATGTGTAGCGCATTGCAACAGGAAAAAAAGTAGGGAAACGGGCTATCACATTCTTAAGTGGTACCTGCTCACTATTATTGAAATAAAAACCTAAAAAACACTACAAACATACACCCTCTTCCAAGACTACCATCTCCATTCTTAAACACAGAGATAACAGAGGAAGATAGTCAATTAGCATTCATCATAAGACAAAATAAACATGAAAACAGAACAAACCATTGCAATGTATCCAATGAAAAAAAGCTATGTAATAAAGCCCATAACCAATTATTAATTGAAAAAATTTCAAAGATAAAGTTACCTTTTACAAGCCCTAAATGTGTCTAAAATTTGGGGAAAATGGAAGAGCTGAAGGAGAGAGCCCAGAGAGAGAATTATAAGATTATGGGGCCGAAAGGCCAACTCATAGTCAGTTGCATGATTTTGATAAGCTGATGGGGAAGAATTTAGGTAAACCCGAAAAGATGCATATGCAGAACGGATCTCGGTCTCTCTGACTCCTGAAGGTTCGCCTACCTCAAGGCGTGCACGCCAACAAAATTGTCGACTATAATCCACTGAAACGGAAGGCAGAGGGAGACGGTGGTGGGAGGGGTTAGGGTTGGAGCTGGAAAGATGGTGGAGAAGGAGCAATCGGAATAGAGAGAGAGTGCCCGTGTTTCATGTTTCCGCTTGACCCGATTTTAATTTTTAACCCATATTAGATCCACATATAGACCCACTTTTCAGGGTTTAGTTATGGAATTGGAATTAGAATTCTTTTGGTCCAGTAAAGAATTCAATTCATGGAATTGGACCCCCATAGAATTCAGATTCAATTCTAATTCTTTGAGTGGGACAGAATCCAAACAGCAGAATTGGAATTGGGGCTCCAATTCCAATTCTAAACCTCAATTCAATGGGGAACCAAACATACCCTAAGTGATTTTCAAAAAATGAATGCATTACAATACATTAGTAGATAAAATTATTATATTACTTTCTATTACCTCTAATACTTCTCGCAGTTTTTCACTTTCTTCTTAACTAGACATTTCAAATTTGTTAGTTACTACTTGGATACTTTTTTTTACAACATAGGTACCAATTCCAGCACATTACGCGAGCCTCTCCCCTGGTCTTCAGTTATAAAGATCTTGCAAAATGATAAAGAAAACTTGTTCAATGATTGATGATATACATGTTGCATTGCTAGCTCTCGTATCGTTGACACATGTTTGGTTCTACAGGAATTTAATAAAGTTATACTCTTTTCATCCCAATTATTTTGTCATATTTTAGAAATTCAACTTTTTAAAAATAGTGGTTTGATTGTGATGTTTGTACTTCTTTTTTCAATCTTACCCTCACAAATTTTAAATTTTGAATTTGAATGGTAACATTCATATGATTATAAGAGAGGGACTATATTGAAAGAAGAGATAAAAAAATACTTTGACTTTGTCAACATGACAAATATTTTGGAACATTCTAAAATAAAAAATATGACACTTTCAATGAAACGTAAAGAATACACATTTTGGTACATTATAATGATAGTAATTTTTTTGATTATTTGTGTAACTCGTCTACTAATTTAGTTAAGCAATGAGTGTTACACAATTTTCTATAACAGTTAAGAATCAGCAAGAGTTTGAAAGTAAAATTAGAAACCTTACCATAACTTAAATAATGTCATTACCAACTAAGGCACTTAAGTGCCTTGAGGGTAGGGTGGTCAAGGGTTTGACGCCTGTTTTTCATAATTATCACTTATGTGGTTTCTTTAACATCTAGATTTAGTAGTACATACGTACTTTTGGTACGAAAATGATTTAGTTCCCTCTAAACTTTAGTTGGATTTGCCCAGTTCCCCTTCCCCTTTCCCATAGGTGAGTCATTTGTAAAAAGTAGTGTTCATTGACCAGGGGAAAAAAAGAGCAATGTCAACACTAGCTTAGCTTGAAAAAAAAAAAATAACTCTTTATGTTAGTGTGTCAGCCTTGAAATAAAATCAATCTATTCATGAATAAGAGCCCATTAAAGTCTATGAGCGAACCTTCCTAATAGCTTGTTTGTGAGTTTAGGACAGAAAGAAAAGGATGATAAAACTTAATTATGAGATAAGAGAAGAGAAGAGAAGTAATTCTAATATTGTTTGGGAGTTTTGAAAAGAAATGAAATGATTTGGATATATAAATCAATATAAATTCATGCCACAGCTTTTTAAGGACAAGATGGGTATTCAAAAAGTATTAGTAGGCTTTCAAGAGGTTTATCTCGCTTTTCTGCCCGAATCTGGTTGGAAAAGTTTTTTAAACTATAGCACAAGTTTTATCCTTCTAAATCCATTTCCTTCCTTTCTTTTCTATCTCGTGAAAATCTCCAAAACGCATGATAAGTCAACTTTTCCTTCCTTTTTTATATTTGCTGTTCAAATCTTTCCATCCAAACTAGCCATAAGGATGGCAATGGGGCAGGAGTTGTCAAATAACTCCCCTTATTCCTTGCCTCTATCTCCCATCCCGTTTTGCGAGGAAATACATCAACTTATCATATTTAACAATCTGCTCATTTATGGGATAATTTTATCATTCATTCTATCTTAAAATATTCAATAAAGGCATGCTTATGTACTCAACTTTAATCCATTCAAACGAGTTGCAAAATACTAATAACTAAAGAAAAAATACAACCTGTCAATATCATGAGAATGACATTAAAACATCCGACTGAGATGTAATAGGATCAAATCACAATTGTATATTCACTTACAATAAAACAATTGCAAACAACACTAAATAAGATTAACAAGCTGTCAATATGGAAACAAAACACAATAAGTCAAGTTACTAAAGTTACATTCTAGTATTCAACAAACTCAGTCAAGTTAATTTCTCATATTCAATAAACTGAAGACATTCAACAATAAGTTTAACTTTTCCCTTCATCAACCTAACTTAAGAATTGGATTAAAACTAAATTATTATATTGTATATATTTGTATTATATATACATCTATAAATTTAAATATATATATAAATTTTTTTGTATATAGGGAATCGAACGGGTGTATGTTGCCTCGCCTCCCCTCCTCCCCGATTTTAAGGCGGGGAGAAATTTTCTCCCCCCACCCCGGCCCCATTTGTACCCCTCAAGGTGGATGCCAGTGGGCACCCATCCCCATTGCCACCCTTAAACCTTCCTTATCAACCGAATTCTATTATTAGGAGTGTTCACGATCTCGATCCGTAAAAATTGGATGACTCATTTTATGATCCAAATTTGGATCCGCTAATGCAGGGATCTGGATTATGCAGATTGGATCAATCGGACGCCCAATTCGTATCTAAATTTTAAAATTAAAAAACCTATAAATCCCAAAAATAAAATAAAATTTGAACGTATTACAGTTTCAAAATATCACATAAGTGATTTGCTATACTTACATATGAGTTTTTAGTCAAAATTAATCAATATTTTTTTTGTTGCAATATAAAATAACTTTATATGTTTTTCTTATTTTGACTCAAGAAAATAATATTCAATATTTCATTTACAATTCTTTTATCCACAAATTATATGACAATATGTTTAAAATCTTAACACCATATGCAAAGAAAGTCTATCTAGAAAGAGGACATAAATATAAAAATAAGAAATAATAGATAAAACTGCTATGAATTAGTGGATTTTATGTATAAAAAATGATAAAAATAAAAACTACTATGTGAATTAGATTGGATATCCGCGAGTCATAAAAAATGATATTTGAATCTGATTCGTATAACTTCTTGACCGGATGTGATCTGATCAACATATGATATGATGGATCAGATACCCACTAATTAAGGTCAAATCATATTCAGATAACGCGATCAAGATGCACATCCTTGCCTGTTATGTGAGTGTGTTTGTATAGTAAATTATTTGTAATAATTTTTTTCCAAAAATATACTGTAGCACTTTTGGAAAAAATGCTCAGGTCCCAACATCTCTTGCCTTTTACCTTTTTCCCTTGATTTTTTTTTTGTTTGTTTTGTTTTGTGTGGGAAAACCTTCTTCCCTAATGGCTAAGGCTTCGTTTGGGAGTTGAGGATTTCAACAGAAAAGAATGGGAAAGAAGAGAAAGTTTAGTTTTCCTTTATTTGTTACTTTTTAGTAAGAAAGAAAAGAAAAGAAATGAGAGAATCCAGAGAGATGAGTAGCATGCAAAACATTTCCTCCCAAATTACACAGAAATGAAAAGAAACTTTGAGGAAACTTGCCAAATTTTTTTAAAATGTTTATTTTGTTTTTAAAAAGATTTTGAACAAATATTTAATGATTTCTATATCTAAAATCATTACATTAATTTTCAAAACTCCCAAATAACATAACAGTCTCCTCTTCTCTTCTCTCCTAACTTTAGTTTTCCTTCTTTTTTTTTTTTTCTATCCTAAACTACCAAACTAAGCCTAAAACAAACAAAACAGAAAAACTGGCATAAAAAACATTTCTAAACTTTAAAAAATAAAATAAAATTCCGGAAGTACCCTGGCGAACTCTCTCTGACCTCGCGCCATTCTTCTCGGGCAAAAGGGAAACGTCGCAAATCCGTGGCAAAACCCTCCCCGTCAGGCCATCGCTCACACCTCAGGTTATTCGGACAATGCATAAATCAATTTTATGGCCGTTAGATTTTAATGTAATTGTTTTTACCGATATATTGATATTCCGTTTTCAGATAATTTATAGTTTTACTTGCTTAACTTCAAAATTGGATTGTTTTCGCTGATTTAAGTAGCGCAGACTGTTTAAACATGTTTAGATTTGAGAGTTTGTATCGTTTTTGGTTAGCTCCGTCTCCAAGAAATAATTTTTTTAATTTGAATTTGGACTAGCAGAAGCGGTTTATGTATACGCATGCTCTATTTGACGAATTTTATTTCGATTAGAAGGGTGAGTTTTCAGTTTGCCAATGTTTAATTAGTTGAAATGGCACCAAGCAACTGGAGTATTTTTCCCGCCCTGAAAAACTGTGAATGGTTTGATAAATCAAAGTTGTTGAATTGGTAGAGATGAGGATAGCAGTGGAAGGGTGTATGCATGGGGAATTAGACAATGTTTACGCAACCCTATTACATTTGCAAGAAGTGGAGAAAGTAAAGATTGATCTACTCCTTTGTTGTGGTGACTTTCAGGTAAGGGTTCTTTACTCCTTTTTTTTTTCGGTCACGCTGTTATGCTTGTTTGAGTGAGTTTTGAGTTCAAAGCTATGTTCTTGTTTTGCTGTCGTGTTCATGGGTGCTGTGTATTTTTTTTGGTCTTGCAATCTGCATGCTGTTTTGGTATTATAATATTTATTGGATTAGTTGCTAAATAAATTTTGGGAAATGTAATGTTCACAAGGAATAAATTAAGAAGAACAACAGTAGATAAACTAACTTGTTGATCATCCTATTTTGATCTGTTATACATAAGTAAATGAAGCATAGATCATTATTCCTGTAGCTTAAGGGGTTAAGATGAGAGTCCATTCAAAAGATTTAATTGTCATCCGAATCTTTTTCTTCGCTTGTTTGAAACAACCAATATGAAGCCATTGATAACTATGCAGGGTGTTATCTAGGTATATGTAATTCCTTTATTGTAGTGTCTTTTAATTCCACAGAAAAGTAGGAGAGAAGAAGTGTTTCTGGTGCAGCGATTAAAAGACTTGAAGGTAGTT